CCAGGTGTTTTGGACTTCAACTCCCACAATTCCTAACAGCCGGAGTTGAAGTCCAAAACACCTGGAGGGCCAAAGTTTGCCCGCGGCTTTTTTAGAACAGTGATTCCCAAACTCTGGTCCTCCAGATATTAACTTTAGTATCTGGTCCTCCAGATACTAACTAGGACTCTACTCCTAGGAGTCTCAAACGCTTTAGAATGGGGTCAGAGATTCTGAGACCTGAAGTCCAAGACAACTGGAAGACCAGAGTTTGGGAACTGCTGTTTTAGATCATATGCGCACAATATCCCAGGCATACGACTGATGCAATGACCTTCTGGTTAGCCATGCTGAGATAAACTATGTTGCGCGGGAGAACATACAATGGGACATGTGAGTTCTAACTTCCTAGACCCAGTGATGTCCAACTTGTACCCCTCCTTGTGTTTTGGACTTCAGCTCTGAGAGTTCCTGGCCATTGGACAAGCTGACTAGGGCTTCTGGGAGTTGGAGGCCCAAACATTTGCTGGGCCACATGTTTGACCCCTCTCTATTCTAGACCCATTCTGCAATGGAGAGCATCACAGAGACTATCCCTGCCAGTCACTACGTTCTTGAAGATCGCAGCCCTAGGATCATGCTTTTCATTTATCAGATGGAAGAAACCTTACCTGCGGAGGATCGCCCACCCTGCGGACGTACTGAAGGACCTGCTCTTCCGTGACTGGCATGTGCTCCAGAATGACCTGCAAGCGCATGCTCATCATGGTGGTGAGCCAGCTCACCAAGGAGGGGTTCATGTCTGCCGACATCCGCCTCTGGTGCCAGGAGGGGAGAATGAAAGAAAGAAAAAGAGAAGGAAGAGCTGTCAAGGCACCAAGAAGGGGTTCCAGCCATTTTTGCAAAAAAAAAAACCCAAAACAAAACAAAACAAAAACAACCCTAAAGCCATCTTCCCAAAACCAACTTCCCTCTCCAGCTAGGTGTTCCTTTTCAAAATACAGTAGGCTCTCAATAAACCAGAACTCTCAAGCAATGGCAACCCCTCCCCGCAAAGGAATAATACTTGAAAGAAAAAACAGATCCTGATGATACTGAGACAGCCTACCCAGTGAACTCCATACCCCTCATGTAAGACTTTTAAGTGTGTACGTGTGTGTTTGTTCTTTAAAGTTAAAAATGCATGTCCTGTGTTTACTATATTTTGTTCTGTGTATTTTACTATATGTATTTCATATGAATACGTTTTAATACAGGTATTTTACATTATTTATTTATTTATTATTTATCGTGTCGTCATCATCATCATCGATTTTACATAATGATTTGTTTTAATTATGTTGTGCCCTGCGTTGAGGAGAGGTGGGTAAAATATTATGATTATGATTAAAATAGTTTATTATTAATATTATTTTTTAAATATGTCAGTGGAGATCTGTAAGCAGAAAAGTGTATTACCTGCCATTTAACTAAAAATGCTTCTTCATTCATAAAGCTGTTTTTATAACACAGTAAAACTATGTTATATGATTGTGTCTTTGTCTTTAAATCAGTATCCACAGCAGGTCAATACAGAGTTTAGGGGCCGTGATGGCACAATGAGTTAAATCGTTGAGCTGCTGAACTTGCTGACCTGAAGGTTGGCAGTTTGAATCCATGGGACAGGGTGAGCTACTGCTGTTAGCCCCAGCTCCTGCCAATCTAGCAGAAGGAGATCTGGTCTCGAAGACAGGTTGGACCTGAACCTCATAGGGCTTTATAGGTGATAACCTGCATTTTGAATTGAGTCCAGTAACTTGTCAGCTCCCTATAATTAGCCCATTACTAATTTGGCTGATCTTCAAACTAATTTCAATTTCCGGGCCATCTTCAAAGGCAGCCCCACATAGAGTGCACTACAGTAGTCCATTCTAGATGTCACTAAGGCATAGGCCACAGTGGCCAAGTCAGGATTTTTAAGATATGGTCGCAGCTGGTGCATAATTTTTAAATGTAAGAAGGTCTTCCCAGCCACCACTGACACCTGAGCTTCAAGTGTCATTATTATTTTACTGACACAAAAACACACTATGACACAGCAAATCAGATGCATAGGCTGGATTTTGTATCAAAAATCACAAGTGGAACTCCTCCCAAGCGTTTAGGACTGTATGATGTATTTTCAAATGATGTGAGCAAATCCAAGTAAGGTGGCCTTTCGCACTTGACAGATCGTGATTTTATCAATGTTGATTGTCTCCAAATGCCGGCTGAGAACTTTTGGCACAGCACCCAGTGTGCCGATTACCACTGGCACCACCTGTACTGGTTTATGCCAGAGCCTTTGCAGTTCAATTTTGAGGTCCTGATATTATTATTATTATTATTATTATTATTATTATTATTAATGATACGATATAATACGACGCATAGTATTAGGCCTATTTTTAATAGTAACTCTCAAGCAATCAGAAACTACATTTATCTAACACTCACTAATCCTCATGGGTGCCAGTTAATTGAGAGTTTACTATACTCAAAAGCAGCACTATCTCCCACTACCACACATACCAAGTCACCCAAAACAAGGTCTTTCCCATGTTGCCATCCTTGAGAACTGTTGGCAGATCTACTGAGAAGCTGACTGGCTTTACTGAGGTTATTTCTGGGATTTTTATAAATATGCATTAAGCTCTGAGAACCAGACTTATGTAAGTAGAGGGTAGGCAAGGAAGACCTGGGTTCAACTGTCCAGCCACCCATGAAATAACAAATGGGAGAGACGCCACGCAAATTGTTCTCAGTCATGCCTCACTTAACTCACAAGAGGAAAGAAGCAAGAGGAACAAACCTAAAAGCACTTTTGGGATTGATTATTTTGTGCATTTCGACCCACTTTCTCATCACACTAATACAGAACACTGTTAAGCCATTTGTTTCACTGCTGCATAGTTGTAGAAGTGGGATCATAGCTGAAAGATAATAAATCTCCAAAGATCACGGTGCCAATCAGCTTGGCACTGTGAAAGCCTTGAGCATTAGTCCCGAGTTTGAAAGCAATAAAAAAGCAATAAAATACATTCACTAAGCATCCCTGGCCTAAGAAAACCGTATGAAATCAATAGGGTCATGAGTAAATATGAAGCCTCATATAACCATACACACTAGGATTGTGAGATTTGGGTAAATCACGATCCATTTTGGTGTCCATGATTTCAGTGGGGGCTCCAATCCGTTTTTCGGAAGACACCCAAATACGGGAGGACAGAAGAAATCTGTTTTTGACCTGAGAAGCCGAAATATTTGTTTTTGATCCGGTCCATTGGTGGCAATGGGGGGGATATCCCAGACTCCCCCTTCTTGTCATTTTAAACATCGTTTGTCCTTATATCCTTCATTAAGACTTGTACTAAAAGCACCAGGGTTAAGATAGCATCCTCTCTTACAATAAATCCAGGAAACTTGGATTTATGACAAGGGCTTAAGATAGCACCCACTCTGGGATCCTTTCCCTTCTAGCAGATGTCTCCCTTCCTGCACTCCATGTTTACCCAAAAGAAACCAAAAGCAACCTATGTTGTTGTAGGAAAAAACCTACAACAACGCACCAAAAACCTACAACAATGCACCAACCTGCGTTGTTGTAGGAAAAAACCTACAACAATGCACCAAAAACCTACAACAATGCACCAACCTGCATTGTTGTAGGAAAAAACCTACAACAATGCACCAAAAGCAACCGTTTTTCAGTTCTGTTGCAGAAGGGCATTATGGCATTATGGGCATCCAAATCCGCCATACCAGCCAAAGACCATTTTTGAAAACGAATCCATGCACTAGCCTAACACACACGAGCACAGGAAAGGCTTGAAAACCTGCCTGTTCCACCTTGCTTTTGATGAATGAATAACAATCCCCATACCATGATCATCCCAGCATACACTTGTCCTCTTTGGTCCATTTCCCCTTACTCCTAGTGGGCAATTAAACCCCATAACTTGTCCCTCCTGTATCTCCAACCAGATAAATCAGTCCAGTCTTCCCCTCTCACCTAATGTTCCCTTGTTTTTATGCTTGCATTTGGCCCAGCCCACTCCTTTTATTTCTTATCCTTAATTTTTATTTTATGTTTATCCCATTGAGTTGTTTCTTTTATTGTTGTATMTATTGTATTGTCGAAGGCTTTCATGGCCAGAATCACTGGGTTGTTGTAGGTTTTTTTGGGCTATATGGCCATGTTCTAGAGGCATTCTCTTCTTGCCATAGTTGCAGGCGAAACATCAGGAGAGAATGCCTCTAGAACATGGCCATACAGCCAGAAAAAACCTACAACAACCCGTTGTATTTATTGTTTTTATTGCTTGTATTTTATTTTGTTATTATTTGATGTACGTATTTTATTTGCTTACTGTATTGTTGGGCTTGGCCTCATGTTAGCCACCCTGAGTCCCTGAAGGGAGATGATGGCAGAGTATAAATAAAGTTTAATAATAATAATAAGGTACTTTCCTATGATGAGAACAGGAATATACAATCAAAGCACCGTATTYTCGAAGGCTTTCATGGCCGAAATCACTGGGTTGTTGTAGGTTTTTTTGGACTATATGGCCATATTCTAGAGGTATTCTCTCCTGACGTTTCGCCTGCATCTATGGCAAGCATCCTCAGAGGTAGTGAGGTTGTGAGCTTTGATGCCTTTGGAGAGCAACCTCACTACCTCTGAGGATGCTTGCCATAGATGCAGGCGAAATGTCAGGAGATAATGCCTCTAGAACATGGCCATATAGCCCAGAAAAACCTACAGCAACCCAATCGAAGCACCCTGACAGATGGGCACCCATTCTCTTGCTTAAAAACCTCTAGAGGAGACTCCAGCATGTTCCATCATCAAACAGCTCTTTACCATCATGAAGTTCTCCCTAGCTGTCAGGTGGAACCTCTTCTGTAAATTTAATCTGTTGCTCTATGCAACAGTTTCTAGATCAGCAGAAAACAAGCTCGCCCTCTCCTCAATGTGACATCCTTTTAAATATTTGAACATGGCAATCATGTCCCCTCTCAGCCTTCTTTTCTCCACGTGAAACATACCCAGCTCACTCTGATGTTCCTCATAGGGCTTTGGCTTCTAAACCTTTGACCATTTTGGTCGCTCTCCAAAGGCATCAAAGCTCAGGAGCTTTTCCTTCTCAACAGCCTTTGGAACTAGTGCAAGTGCCTACAGATCCCCATCTGCAAATGAACACAGCTTTCTCTTCCAAAGATATCAACCCCAACCAAAGAAAGCTGCTTGTGGACATCAGGAATGGAGAGCACCAACACTTACAATGCGGTCGTTGATGACGGCTGTCAGGGCGCCCTGCTCCCCCCGCAAGCAGTAGAGGTTCAAAGCCAAACACTCAAACAGGCCCTGGTTGCACAGCTCCAGCAGCCGATACCCAAAGGTGTTATCTGAAAAGGAAGGGAAGAAGACAAGGAAGAGAATCTGAGGAAGGGAACAGCTTGATCGAAAGACCCCTGAGGCACAGCTCAAAGCGATGACTCCATATTGCTCCTTGGATCCCTGACCACTCTACTAAGCCCTGCCCTTAACTCTGTGGTTGTCTTACCGGTGCAGCGGAGGATGTGTGTAGCAATGCGGTTGAACTGCTCCTGCAAGAACTCCAGATTGGTGCGGGTGATGTCGACGCCATCACGAACGCGGACAGAAGCCTTTAGAGACATTGGGGGGGGGGGGGGGGGGGGGGGGAGGAATGATGAATCACATTTTGTCTGTCTGGAGTAGTTTTTAATTTTGTGAATTATTTCTGAACTACTTGTTTCTGAAGATTTCTACCACAAGATTTCAAACTGAATGGAGTATTCTTCTTGAAATGCAGTGAGCAGACTACCTGGAGCGCACATAGGCTGCAAAACCCATTCCGTGCATCACCAGAACTCCATATGCCAAGATTCTTCATAAACACAATATTGCCACAAAATGGAGCACTGGCTGTAAAGCCCAGCTTCCTGAGAATCTCATATTGTTTGTGTGTGTGTGTGTGTGTGTATATATGTAGAAATATTATGAGCCCCTGGTAGTGCAGTGGGTTAAACTACTGAGGTGCTGAACTTGCTGACTGAGAGGTTGGTGCTTCAAATCTGAGGAGCGAGATGAGCTTCTGCTGTTAGCCCCAGCTTCAAACCTAGCAGTTCAAAAACATGCAAATGTGAGTAGATCAATAGGTACCACTTCAGCGGGAATGTAAATGTGCTCCATGCAGTCATGCTGGCCACATGACCTTGGAGGTGTCTATGGACAATGCCAGCTCTTTGGCTTAGAAATGGAGATGAGCACCAACCCCCAGAGTTAGACACAACTAGATTTAATGTCAAGGGGAAACCTTTACCTTTTTTATATGTAGAAATAGAATGAAGTTACTACCCCTTAAAGTTGTTCAGGTGGTCAAATATGCAGCGATTCTAATACCTCACATATCTGCTTGTTCAGCCCCATGTTATGGGAAAAAACAGCCAGGATTTCCCCTTAATTTTGCATAATTCTACAGCTTGCCGAATCTAAGATCTTAAGCTACAGAATTTCAGCCTAAAGATTTTTCTGTTTGTCCAGGACTATAAAAATAAATAGAATGAACATGTTTCTAAGGATGACATAACACTTCTAGTGAGACGTCCCTGAGGATGCTTAGACCCATCTAATCTTGTTTAATCTGCAATCAGAAGTGGGTTTAGACTTGATTCTCTCAGCTTGGAACAGGGTTGGTGCAGAAACAGAGGAGGATGAGATGAGAGTGACACTTACAAAGCTCTCGCGGATGTAGTCCTCCAAACCGTTGATCAAATTGTAAGTGGCCATCTGGAAGAGTCAAAAGAGAAAAGCACCTGTTATCAACTGCAAGGGGAGTGGAAGCAGGAAAGCGGTGGAGGTGGGGGAGGGGGAGAGGGTCTTCCCACCTGGATGTTGCGGTCGGTGGGCTCTTGACCATGAAGATACTCCTCCCGGAAGAACCGGTTGAGCTGGGGCTGGATCCGCTTCAGGGGCTGGAACTGCCCGTGTAGCAGCATCACCATGTCAACCATGGAGAAGTTCTGACAGATCAGGGAAAGCAGATCTCCAAAGAAGCCTGGAAAGACAGGCACAGAAATAAAAACAAGTGCCCTCCCAATCCTCCATCATTTTTGTTGGGTTTCATCCCTGTGTCATCAAGATTTCAGAATTCAATGAGTAACAAGACTAGACAGGATTCGGCTGAGGGATCCCCCCCCCCCCCATTCCTTTGCATATAGAAGGCAGCCTATCACAAGACAACAGTGTGTTCCTTACCCAAGGCCCCCTCTGTGCCCGGCTCAAAGATGTTACTGGTCCCGCTCAGGCGCTGGATGAAGTCAGCGATGCTCTCGGTGCTGCACTGCTGTGCACTGAGTGAGCCCATCATGGATGACAGGACCCCTTGGACGACGCTGGTGAAAAACTCAGGGGGTGGGGCGTCAGCTGAGGAGGCCCCTCCGCGAAGCCCACTGCCTCCCACACTTCCAGAAGGGGCATCCGTTCCACTTTGGGGAGTGGAGGGGGGAGGCGGCGTGGGTGGAGTGGCCTCTGGTTGAGGAAAGAACTGAAGCGGAACTCCGCCTACTGCCTTTTATACCATTGGGAGGGTGGGCGGGACTCCCGCCTAAATTCTTTTCATCTAGAATGTTCCGAAATCACTGCGCATGCGCACAGAAACCCATTAGTGCGCATTTCACAGACTACACGAGGAAGAAATACCAAAATCAAAACATTTATTGATAATAAATCAGCATTTAAAAGTTTTACTGAAGTACAGCTGAAGCATCTTCTGCAGAGTACACACTAAACACTACACCATAGATTCATGTAAATGTCTAAAATGGCTACTGGTCATATTAAGAAATCTTTACTGTTGTCATTTTTTTCTGCACTCCAACACTTAGCTGAGGAGATCCCATTTGGAGTCAGGACCTACAGTTTAAGAATCAGCACTCTAGATAATACATCCCAATTTGCTAATGAAAAAAAGCCCAAGATCAATTCACCTACACCCACCCCACATGCAAAGAACACATACTTTTTAGAATGACCATACAGCTTACTGTCTAATGAGTCTAATTATCTCAATTTCTTTGAGATAATTTGGAAGGAAAGTGAGGTAACTTTTCACTTGCACCAAAGCTCCTGTCTGACTATCTGTCACCAGGAAAACAGAATACAGCTAAAATAAAATACAGTGGGAGTTGTTCCAGGACCTGCTACGGACACCAAAAGGGATGTTGAAATTGCATCGTATACAGTCACATAGTAAAATGGTATTCCATATATAAAATGGTCAAAGTAAGGTCTGATTTTGGGATTTTGAGGAAGGGAGATACTTTCTGAATGGTTGAATCTGTGGATACAGATACCCTTCTGGATAAAGAGAGCAGGCTGCAAGATAAAATAGCTACTGGCTGAAGCCTCAGAATCTGGGATATGTGAACTACAGACGCTGTCATTTTTTAGGCTTTGACCCTAATTTTTTTTTGCTCTGCCTCCTTGAACATGGGCTATTTTATTATTTATTTTTATCTTATTTATACCCCGCTTTTCTCTATCCCTAAAGGGACTCAAGGCAGCTTATATATAGGCAATTATTCAATGCCTTAAAAACATACAATTCCAGTAACATAAAAATAAAATGAATACATATTAAGCCTCTAATATGTTTGCTTAATCTCCCTTATGCAGGTATACTTTTCTCCTATGGCACAACGGGCCTAATACTGACTGGCAGCAATCACACAAGCTACAATGACCTTCAGATGGTCTATATGGGATTGCCTTTGGATAGGCTACCTTCACATATTGGCTATTTAGACACACCTTGATCAGCTAGCTCTTTCTTTCCCAGGGATGCTTTTGACTCATTAAGCCCTTAAACAGCCTGGACTTCATGTACTTGGGGAATGTCTCCTCCCATACAGGCGTTCCCCAAGTTAAGGCTGTCTTTAAATTCTTTATTCAGAAGTCAAATCAGTGAGAAACACAACAGCTTCCACCATGCCCCCAATGCATCTTTATGACTACCTTCCAAAATTTGTTTTTCAAATTTTATCAACTTTCACCCAGATTTGCCACTTTTTGTTTACTATGAACTACAATTTGCATGTTTGTATACAAATATATATAGCGAGTACTGGTATAAAAATATAAAAATAGGACTAGTGTCCACATTTTGCTCATATTCCAACTCACATCACCATTTTCACCAACCTAATGCTAAAGGATTATGAAAATAGTATTGAATTAGAAATATACATGCAAGTCCAAAAATTTTAGTTTCCAAACCAATGCCCTCCTAAATGGATCGATTTATCCATGGGTCAATATAAGCACTGTATTTTAACTCTTATTTTAAAAGGACTTACCCACTTCTCTGAGTGGCAAGAAGGCTTAGTCCAACCTGAGAGAATGTAAAAGAGCTGATCTCCTATACTCTCTCTGCTGTGCCACTGCTTTTGATTTTCCTGAATATTCAAATGCTCCCAAGGCCATTTTACTATCTACCCAACAGGTTTTATCCCTCCTGTTGATGAATTCCTCATCTCAAGTTAGATATGAACCTCCCCTGGCTTTACCTGTCTCTTTCCCAGGTCAAGATTGTCCCCCCACCCTTCAGTCACACATGCCTACCCATTCCCCTCGAATCCCCCTCTTCAAAGGACTTGCCTGCGGTTCTTGGGAGAGGGCCAGCTCCTCTTGTCACCACCGCTTCGCCCGCTGCCACTCCCTCCACGGCCAGTCCTGCCGCCTCCTCCACCAGGGGCAGGATTGGAGCGGCGGTTCTGGCGGTCCATGCCAGGTCGCTGGCTGGAGAAGCTGCGCTTGGACATCTCCTTCCTCTGGGCTAAGCTGAGCTCATTGTTGGAGGGCCGTCCACCTACAGAAGGTGCACCCGAACAGCCCCCCTTCAGGAAGGCAGTAGGGGGAGGCCCACCCGGCGCTGGCTCCTTCTCGCCTCCGCCCCTGCGCTCTGTGAAGTCGCTGCTCTCTGAAGCCGTTTCCCACTCCTCATTGGCCTGGTCAGAGTTCTGATTGGAGAGATCAGGGGACTTTGTGCCGGCCACGCGCCTGCTGGTTGATTCCTCTGGCACCGGGACCGAAGCTGTTGGGGGAAAAGGCTGTGCTGCTCTCTGCTCCCCATTGAGCCGCGCTGCATTTTCGCGCTCCTGTTTCAGCCTCCGGAAGCGAGGTGGCTTGTCCTGCTGTTGGGAACGCCCATGGCGCCGTCGTCGGGGTGGCCGGTCAAAGCCACGGTCTGGGTTGGGACCAAGAGGCTGTTGTTTTGGGGGACCTTGGAAAACATTGGAGTCCTCTGGGGTCACTGCAGGAGGTCCAGATGGCACCTTCTCCTTTCCGGAGGACTCCATAAGTGCCTCTTGTTGCTTCTCAGTTTTCTTGTTGGGCTGCGGCTTGGATGGGGGGCTCCATCCACCAGGAGGAGCACGGCCACCACCTCTGCCCCGCCGCGAGGGCACACCACGAGGGGTAAAGACACGCCCACCGCGGGTGCCAGGATCCGAGAGACGTGGAGGCATCTTGTCAGCAAACCGAGGTAAGCCAGGGTGCAGCGAAGAGGGTGCAGATGTGTTTGTCATCGGGTGCCCTCGGCTGCGCTGGCTTGGGGCTGGTTCTTTAGTCACCTCCTTGTCTGAATGGGCCACGTCACTGGCACTCTCGTGAGTCTCGCTCCCCGTTTCTGATCCCCGCTGGCGTCGCCTTTTGGGTATCTCTTCATACTCCGAGCCTTCGCTCCGTGTCTCGCTGGCATTGCGTGGGCGGAAATTGGAGCCCGGCCCAGGGGGCTTACCAGGTCCATCGTCCAGCCGGTAGAAAGGTTCACGGTAGCTACGGAACTCCCGGCTTCTCCCCCGCCCCCCTCGCCCACGGCCGCTGTAGGCTCCCCGGAAACCCCGACCTCTGGCAAAATACTCTCCGCGTCCCCTGGCTCGGCCACGGCCAGCATAGCCACCGCCACGCTCAAAGGGGCCATCTCGACGCCGCCGACTTGGCGACAATGGGCCCTGTTGTTGTTGTTGCTGCTGCTGCTCTTTAGGTGGCATGATTGTTCCCCCATTTAACACTGGCTTGGCCTTGTTCTCCTTTCCAGGTTTTGGGGACTCTTTAGGGGGCTCTGGTTTGTTGCTTACAGCCTCTGCAACTTCCTTGGCCTTCCCTGCAGGACGAGTCTCCTCACTTTCGTCCTTCATCTCCTTTGGAGGCAGAGGCTTCTTGATAGGCCCAGCTCGCCGCGGGGCCTTTTCCCCAGAGATCTCCTCAGTCCGCCGGCTGCTGCCAGGACGGGGCCCCCAACGTGTCTCCGTCTTGGACTCCCGCCGGGGCTGCTTATGGAATTCATGCTGCTGCCGCGGTGGTTTTTCCACTCTCCGCAGAACCTCCTCTTTGACAGGAACCTCTTCTTTGGGCTGTTCAGCAGGAGGCTTCTTGGCTAACACTGGCCGAATGACGGGAGGTTCGGCTGCTTTACTCTCTTCTGGGGGCTCGCGATGCAGCAGTGGCGGCTCTTCTTCAGTTTTGCGAGTTGGCTGGATCTGGGGTTCAGGGCGCACATTTCTGTTCACCTCTGCTGATGCTGCCAAGGTTATGTTAGCTTGCCATGGTGGACCCGGCCTTGGTGGCTCGTCCACTGGGAAACGGTGCAGTGGAGCAGAACCGCCGTTTTCTGAGAAACCCTGGTAGTTTCCCATGTAAGGCTGGGGGGTAACAGCATCGCGTAGACGAACCGGGGGTGTCTCACTCCTGAAACAAAAGGAAATGCATTTCATTGTAAACATTGTACCAAGAAGTGTATCTACCCCCTCTCCATCTGCCTAGCCTAAGATATTACGCGGGTTTCAAAAAAAAAATTCCGATAATGAAGACTCAACAGTTGTTTTCTATACACACCTTGGGGTATAGGATCTTGGCCAGTATCTGAAAATGTTACTTTTTTGTACAATAACTCCTGGAATAGGATTGTCAAACTCACTTTCAGCAAAGGTCGCATCTATCAGAAATATTAAAAATCAACTATCAAAAATGTGAGTCAAGCACTGAAAGGGTTAAATGGATGCAGTGACTCAGCAAAAGCTGCGGTTCTATAAACAAGTAGTTTAGTAGCCTCGATCTGTGAGAGGTCTCTGTAGGAGAAGGGCCTCAGTGTGTTTATGGAATTCAGGCTGCTGTCGCGGTGGCTTTTCCACTTGCCGCAGAACCTCCTCTTTGACGGGTCTCAGTGTGAGAGGCATCAGTCTGAGAGCCCTCAGTGTGAGGTAGATCTCAGTGTTATTTCGCCTCAGTGTGAGAAGACCTGGTGTGAACAGCTTCAGTGAGAGAAGCCCATCACGTGTGAAGCTTGAGTGTAAAAGGGTGCTGTGCATAAAAGGCTACTGTATAACTTCGATGTGAGAAGAGGCTCTGTGAGAGTGAAGCTATTTATCTGCGTGAGAAAGAAGCCCAGCATGGAAGCAAAGAAGAAAGTGTAAAGAACTTTATTTGTGTTATAGAAACCTTGTTATTGTAAATAGCATAACCGTATTATTTTACTACAAAGAAAAGCCGTCTATGGAAGAGATAACATTAGTCTGTGTGTTTTTGTTCTTTCTATCACTTTTGGCTACTGGTGCTGGCTCACACCGCCGCTGATAAGTTACTTTGCTGTACATCAGGGGTCCTCAAACTTTTCAAACAGAGGGCCAGGTCACAGTCCCTAAAACTGGAGGGCCGGATTATAATTTGAAAAAAATATATAAATGAATTCCTGTGCACTCTGCACATATCTTATTTGTAGTGCAAAAACACTTAATAACAATACAATAATTAAAACGAGGAACAATTATAACAAATATAAACTTATTAGTATTTCAATGGGAAGTGTGGGCCTGCTTTTGGCTGATGAAATAGGATTGTTGTTGTTGTGTGCTTTCAAATTGTTTCAGACTTAGGTTGACCCTGAGCGAGGGCTGGGTAAATGACCTTGGAGGGCCGTATCCGGCCCCCGCGCCTTAGTTTGAGGACCCCTGCTGTACATTTATGGGGGTCTTTTGTTAATAAGCCCACTCGCCCAACAACATCAGCATGATGGTTGCCTTCAAAGGATCATTGAATCCATGGTTGGTGCTCTCTAGTTTTTAACCAATTTGAATACCCAGATGTTACTGAACAACAAGCCTCCTGCTTCTGAATATCTACCATACAGACTGGGGATAATGGAAACTGCAACCCAACAGTTCTGAGATTGGGGAAAGGTTAAAGAACATTTTAAACTCAGACATCATATCCAAAAGCCTTGTATCTAAATTGAAGCCTCACCATCCTGACTCAACAGAACAAACTGCAGCCTTCCAGGTGTTACTATATCACAACGCCCATTAATTCTAGCTGTGATGTCCAACAATGAGTAATACAGTGGCCTAGAACCTTCTTGCCTGCATGGCTATACTGGCTGAGGGATTTCAAGATCTCATCTCACCCGCTTTTATGGTGTCAAAGCAAGCAACACCATTAGTTGTTGTTGACCAGGATCTCCACTTCTGAGATGCTCCTGTGGTGCTAATAATTAAAGAGGAGCCCTTCCCTTACCTTAATGCTTTCTCTTCCTCTTCTTGCTGCTGTCGAAGGGCCGCTGCTTGAGGACGCGAGTCTGTGTTGGAAGGAGCATTCGTGAAGACATCTCCGGCCCAGGCCATTTTGGGATCCACAGGTGGAGTGCCCCGCTCTCGGAGGATGGGAGGGTGGCGGTCAAACTGCTCTGAGCTGGAGCCCCCACTGTCCGATCTCTCGCGAGGCAAAAGCCCTGATGGTGAGAAAGAAGGCCAACACAAAGCGACATCAGTCCTAACAGCTCAGGTCACTTCTCAAACCTCTGCCCACTACATTAGTATCAAAATTTGGGCTTCTCTAGCATCACCTTACCAGAAGGGTGTACCCCCGGGGGGAAGAAATCCATGGGGGGCCGCCCTTGCATCATGCGGGGGTCCATGTAAGGTGGGATCATCATCCAGCGAGGATCGAAGTTCATCTGAGGCATCGGTGGGGGCCGCCCAATGGAGCCTGGGTACATGCCTTTGGGGGGAGCCTGCTGGGATGGAGGCGGGGCCGGAGGCTGTTGTGTCCCTGGTGGCCCGGCCGGAGGGTGGACGCTGCCTGAAGGGCCCATTGTAGTCAGAGAAGCGCTGGCCGCCTGCTGCTGGGCTGAAGAAGCCAACGAAGGCTGGACCTGGTTGTGTTGTTGTTGTTGCTGCTGTTGCCACTGCTGTTGCTGCTTTAACAACTGCTCCTGAAAGGACACAGAGGGGTGAAAGGGAGAATGAGTAAGCCAGAATAGTCATCCTAAGGAGGCCATTTACTGTGCTAGAGAGCCGCATTAGGTGGAGGAGATACAAACTGTTGCTCAGGTAGCTGTGAGGACATCAGTAGATGTCAGAGACTCTAGTCTAAAGACTCATTATTGCAACAAAACTTCAGTGTGAGAAGAGGCTTTGTGAGAGCAAAGCTGTTTTATCTGAATACGAAAGAAGCCTAACGTAGAAGCAACGAAGGAAGGATAAAGAACTTCATTTGTGTTACAGAAATCTTGTTCTTGTAAATAGTTCAACTATATTATTTTACTACAAAGAAAAGCCTCCTGTGGAAGAGATAACATTGGTCTCTGTGTTTTTTTAATCACTTTGAGCTACTGATACTGGGTCATGCTGCTGCTAATAAGTTACTCTATACATTTATGAGGGTTTTCTTAATAAGCCCACTTTTTCAACAAGGGTTATGGGCCCAGTATAATCCAGTCTAGCCTAGTACAGGCTATATTGATGCTGAAGAAGTATGGCAATGGCATTTCAAGTAAGTGGACTGTCTTTTGAATAGTTGAATGCCTTATACGAGTCTAGTGTCTAGATCCAGGGAAATCATGCTACCCCTCTATTCTAGCTTGGTCAGACCACACCTGGAACCACGCTGTGTCCAATTCTGGGCACCACAATTGAAAGGAGATGTTGACAAGCCGGAATGTATCCAGGGGAGGGCAGCTAAAATTATCAAGGGTCTGGAAAACAAGCCCTGTGAGGAGCGGCTTAAAGAGTTGGACATGTTTAGCCTGCAGTAGGAAAGGCTGAGAGGAAACACGATGAGGGCTGTGTGTGAGGGGAAGTCATAGGGAGGAGGCTTATTTTCTGCTGCCCTGGAGACTAGGATGAGGAACAATGGCTTCAAACTACAGGAAAGGAGATTCCACCTGAAAACAATTAGAACTTCCGGACTGTGAGAGCAGTTCAGTAGTGGAACTCTCTGCCCCGGAGTATAGTGGAGGTTCCTTCTTTGTAGGCTTTTAAACAGAGGCCGGATGGCCATGTCAGGGGAGCTTTGAATGCGATTTTCCTGCTTCCTGGCAGGGTGTTGGACTGGATGGCCCACGACATCTCTTCCAACTCTATGATCCTAAATAAAAGCTATTTGTCTGACCTTGGGTGCACAGCTCCATTCCCCATACCTGCTGCTGTCTTTGGAAGCGAGGTGGCAATGATTTCTGATACTTTGAGTAGCCAAGAGTCTGGGCTGGAGGCGGCTGGCGTGTCTGAAGGACCGTCTCCCCTTTGGGTTCCACCTTGGCTGGAATAGGAGCTGCTGCTGCTGGGACAGCAGGTACAGGCAAGACTGGTGGCTCTTCCCTCAGTTTTGGTACTTCCTTCAAAGGAGCAGGCAGAGGTGGCTCAACTGTGGAGTATAGCGATGTGTGAGAGAGACAAGAGAACCAGCAAATGGCTTCCCCCTCTGTTAACTTCCAGTATTCATTAACTAAAGAGAAGTTCTTCCTATACCAAGTCACATATGTCAAAAAAGAGAAGATTTTCTCAAAGTTAACTTTGACTTACTAGGGGACAATCCATGGAACAACTTACTGGTGGAAAGCCCTCAGGCTTTAAATTTTCAATTTTTCTGCTGTATTTTACTGTCACTTCTACCATCCTTTAATCACCTTTTAAAGTGCATTTTGAGGTCATGTGAGTTTAACTTAAAATGCTCATATTAGACAACTGAGGATGAAGATCAAATGTAAAGATGGGCAACGGCCGCAGGTTCAGGGGCCATGCAGACCACATGCCATTCCCATGAATCCGGACATTCATAAATTCAACCACAGGGTATTGAACAATAAGACACATCCAGTGGCACCGAGAGTCAGTTCCCAAGACCAGGGAAATCTGCCTATTTTTTAAGGAGAAAGTTATTCTTTGGTTCAAAAATCCAACGAGAGTAGCCTGTTCGAATCAATGAATTCAAAATTTGCTATTCAAAAACTTGAATCAATTGTAGTTAGGATTACACTATATAACATGATCTTTGTTCCTGGGTTATAAATGTCATTTACTAAATGGTTCTGTCATAAAAACATGGAAAAGGTATAATAAACTGCAAAAACTTTTGTTTTTGTGGGACACATTGCAGCACATTTTGCTATAGTTTTCCCATGAATATCTCATTGGGTTTCAAACAATTCAACAGAATGCGTAACAGCCACAAAAATGAAGTTTCTGGAGTACAACAATTGTTTTCAAAGTAAATGCCACAAAATTAAACAGGAAATAACACTTTCAAACCAGGAACAGAACATTTTTGAAATTTTGCTACATAATCTTATCAACTGGATATAGGCCTATGTGACCATAGGCATGGCCATTTTTGGTGATGGCGCCACAGTTATTGAACACTTCCTCAGAACACTCACTTGGTACCTATTTTCTTATAGGTACCTATTGTCTGAATTTCCTGAGCTTTCAGAAATTCCAGTTAGTATTACTCCTTTTGAAAAAGGCTGGCTCTCTAGTTCCACTTTCAAAGAGCTTTTCGTTATCAGCCATTTGGAACAACAGATAGAATACGATGATGGCAATTATAGTAATAACAACAACTTGCCTCACCTTGTGATTCGAGGCAGGACACAACACAGATAAAACAATTCACATAAAGCCCTTTAACGATTGCTTTAGCAAACAAAAATAGAAGAGTTACCATGAATGGCAGAGTCTAGGTTGCCTCCGTTGCTGCTGCTGCCGCCGCCACCGCCACCACCACCACCACCACCACCAACAATACTGCGAGGCTTGCTAGGCAACACAGGCTCCTCATTTTCCCTTTTCTCCTCTGGGAGGACTGGGGGAGCTGGTGGATTAGGGGGCACAGGGGTGGGAGCAGGCAGAGGGGCAGGAGGCTCCTTTGGTGGCTCTGGCTTCAGGCGTTTTTCCAGAGCGCCAAACTTCTCGTCTAAGCGCTTGAGTTTCTCAGCACAGGCAGCTCGGCGCTCCTCTTGCATACGCCGCTCCTCCTCCTCCCTCCTCCGGCGGGCTCGTTCTACAGCAGCAGAGATCTCTGACGATGACTGCTTCCGCCGCTGACGCCAAGCCTCGTCCTCATCTTCCTGGGGAGGTGGCCGTAAGGGGCGGTCCTAGGGACAGGTTTAGAGAGAAGAGACTTGGTTCAAAGCTGCCTGGCTCATGAAAACCTGAACTGAAAGCTCAACCAAAGTTCCAAAACAGTTCTTTTTTCGGACCACAACTCCCAAAATGCTCCAGGCAGTACCAGATTCTAAGAGCTGTAGGCCACTACCCAAAATACATAAAATGTCCAGGCCCTGCCCTCAAACACATTACTTGATTTGATGGAAAGAGCTGGTATGCTCTTTCCATCAAATCAAGTAATGTGCTTGTTCGAACAAGAAGTGCAATGACTGGTAATGACTATAGGAATGGAACAACGGAAATGATACTGGATTGTGGCCTGGACGATGAGACGACGCTGAATGGTTTTCGTAGTAATCATGATGTTTTTGTATAATGCTGGATTGTGAATTGTTTTATACTGTGTCTTGAATTTTGTGGTTCCTATGTTGTACACCGCTGTGAGTCGCCCCTGGGCTGAGAACAGTGGTATATAAGCAAAGCAAAATAAATAAATAAATAAATAAATTGTGCACATCACATATGATCCAGAAATGCATGAACAAAAAACCCAAAAGCCATCCTCAAAATTTGTTGGCTTTTAGTAACCCAAAAGAATTCTAGTTGCAACAACGCAACACAAATGCCACTAAGACAGAGCTGAGAGGAGTTGTTTTAAACGATATAGGCAGTCCAACTTACATATGACTCATAGTGAAGAACAGGAGTGAGACAACAGGAAGTGAGAGGAAATCTACCCATAGGGAAGGAAATTAACTCCTGGAAAAGTTACCATGGGGAAAAGGTGTCTCAGGTGAAGCTTTATCGCCAATCTTTGTTTCCACAACAAGCTACATTTTTCAAAATCTAAATATCACAGGAACAGAAAGTGATCTGAAATATTCTGAACAGGGGCACAGACAGCAAAACAAATGTCACAGGGGTGTTAACCCTTCCCTATGCTACCCAAACTTTATATATAAATCTTGTTTCTAACCCGGGGACTGTCTGCAGTTACCAAACTCCCTGCCTGTCTACTCCCTGGCTAGTTTGTGGAGTTTTATAATAATAATCATCATCATCTTTATTTATACCTTGCCACCATCTTCCCAATGGGGACTCAGAGCAGCTTACATGGGGCCAAGCCTGGACAACATATTACATCAAAATAAAACCAAAACATAAACAACAAGCTAAATCATCAAAATTACATAACACACACACAAAATGTTTTGGGCCCATGCAGCAACTTTTCCAAGCTCTGGAGGGAACCTATGCAAAATGTCCCTGCTTCCTTGTCCTGGTAAGCTGGCAGTCTGCCTCTTGCATACAAGGAACAAGAATGGTGAAGCGCAGAAATGTCACTGCTATGCCACCCTTCCCCAAGCTGCTGTTGAAGATAAAGACTACCAATAATGTAAACTCACCGGGAAGTCATTAGGCTGCCCCCAGTTGCCCCGGTTGGGTGGAGGTGGAGGTGGGGGAGGCGGCGGTCGGACTGCAGGAGGCGGTGGCTCTTTGGCGCTTTCTGGGGGATGCGAGTTTTCAGCCCAGGCTGTTTTTACCAGGGGTTGATCGTCTTTTGGAGTTCCAGCCTTCTTCACATCTGTACCTGAAGTCTGACCTTCTGGGCCAGAAGCCTCATTACTGTTTGGGGGAAAAGAGAGGATGAAGTCACACAGTGCTACAAGGGGAGTGCTGCATATATGTCTTTGTTGGGCGAATGAGCTTATTAACAAAATACCCTCCCCATAAATGTACAACAGAACAACTTGTTAGCAGCAGCATGACTCAGCACCAGTAGACAAAAGTGATAAACAGAACAAAAACACACAGACCAATGTCATCTCTTCCACAGGAGGCTTTTCTTTGTAGTAAAATAATATGGTCACACTATTTACAAGAACAAGGTTTTTATAAGACAAATAAAGTTCTTTATAATTCCATGCTAGGCTTCTCTCTCATGAAGATAAACAGCTTTGCTCTCACAAAGCCTCTTCCCATACCAAAGTTACCCAAGAGCTTAACACAGTAGTTTTTTTTACACACAGCAGCCTTCACACTGGAGTTTCACACACTATGGCCTCCAATCTGAGGTTTCTCTCACTGAAGCTTCTCACACCGGGTCTTCTCATAGACTAAGGCCTACCCCACACTGTGAGGTCTTCTCTCACACACTAAGGCCTACCTCACACTGTGGGGTCTTCTCACAGACGGAGACCTTTCTCCCATCGAGGCAAACTAGCACAGAGGAAAACTAAGCTACAGGCACACCTGCTTATATTGAACTACAGCTTTTGCAGAGTCATTGCATCCATTTAAGCCTTTCAGTGCTTGACTCTTAATTTTTGTAATTAAAAATACTTAGCCAATTTTTCATATTTCTGACAGTCTTGGGAGAAAGGGAAACCAAAAACAAGGACTCGGTGCCATCTGGGTTCCTCTGCGCTGTGGTCACAACCTGCTCTGTAAGGGCTGCATCTGAACAGAATACCATTGGTGGAGCTGACTGAAGCTGCCCACCTTGCCACAGCTCTGGCACTCCGGAGTCCATTTAATGGGACAGAGGACACATGTGTCATCAGCCTCACAAGGCCCTCTTACCAAATCTTAACAGTTTCCTCATCAGATTCTTTCCCATCTTCCTCATCGCTGAATTTGAGCTTCTCAGTGTAGTCCACTTCCTCATGAGCTCCTGAGAGTAGCAAAACAGGAAGACTTTAGATTGACAAGAGCCAACCGGGATGGTGTGGAAAGAAAAACAGCAGCAGTTAATACTGGCTGCTGAGGCTAGGCCCTCCAGTCACCTGCCCAGCCTTCATCGTTCTCCTGGTCCAACTCATCAAATTCTTTCAGGTCATCCTGCTTCAGGACAGGTGGTCGGCCCACAGGCTCTGAGGTGCGTGGTGGAGGTTGTGAGGGCCGAGGTCCTGGGAGCCGCTGGAACCTGGGGGAGGAGGAGGAAGCATGAGTTTCTCATTATCCTGCTACACTCAAAATAAAGATGGTGGTCTGACTGCCTTTAGTAGCTTTCTCTAACCAGGGGCTCTGTGTACCTTCGGAGCAATGGTTCCCAACTTGTGATCTGTGGACCACCAGTGGTCCACCAGAACGAAAATATGGTTAGCGGCCTCACCATTACGACACCATTGCCTTGAAACCACACGGCAAGGAGAGCGACTGGTCTCGTGAAACCCTCTTATAGTGTTGAGGCAACTGGGATGTTGGGAAGGGAGTGGCTGGCTATCCACAAAAGATTACTGCTACTGCATCAAGTCTAGATTATTAAATATGGTTTTCTGTGGGCGAGCAGATGGCGACTAGTGGATGGCATATGTTCTGTATCAGCAACTACAGCAGATGTGGTCTATCTATTGTAATTTTCTGAAACTGCGCCACAAATAACCAAACCGAATCTAAAATTGACCAAAAATAGATTTGTAACCCTTTTGGTACTAATGTTGGAAAGTGATCCTTGGTCAAAAAAGGTTGGGAGCCAATGCTTTGGACCCTCGTTCTTGTCCAGACGTTATTTTGTATGGCAGCTCCTATAATGGCTATGTTGGCTGGGAAATTCTGGGAGTTGTAATCCCTGCAGAGCAGTTTTCCAAACTCAACACTCTCTTATTTGGGATGATCTGGAATGCTAGCAGTGTCACAGGTTGCTGAATATTTATTTATTATTTACTGTACTTATATCCCGCCTTTCTCACCCCTGGAGGTGAACTCAGGGTGGCTTACAAACTATGGCAATAATTCTATCCCAGATTCAGGCAATAACATCAACAGTAAAACACAATATTAGAGACCTGTAAAATATATATATACACATCAATTAAAGTCTTTCAAATGATTAAAACATATCAAACTTCTCTGAGGGGTGCAAAGAATTACAGAGTATGAAGTGAGATCTGCCCATGGAAGTCCTTCACTTGTTTCCTCACTGGTCTTTACTAAGGTTTGAATAAAACTACTTTTGGGGGCTACTGCTCTCAGAATCTGTACCAGGCTATATAGAGATTTCTGGCACTTGCAATTCAAAATTTTCCCAGGCTGTTTTTTCCCTTTTAAGGGATCAGAGGGTAGATAATAGAAGAAACTGCTTTATGTGCTGGTTTCACAGATTAGAAAGATTGAAAAGGTTCCTTTGAAATCAGGAAGCAGTTGTGTATTTAAGTGACTAAGTGTCAACTGGGGTATCCTTCTTGGATGTTAGTACACAGAAGGCCGATAGAACAACTGGCTTTTATTTGTGCAGAAATGCTGGGAAGAGAGAAGGAAATGCTTTTCCTCTAGGAGTCTCTATTTTTTATTTGTTCTTCTTCTGTATATTTCAATATATTTATAGAAATATGTTTTAATGTATGCATTTTACTGAATGTTTTTATGATGATGTTTTCAAACATGTTGTGTCCTGCCTTGAGCCATGGGGAAAGACACGTAAGAAATAATGTATTATTATTATTATTATTTCCTCCTCCTTAGGTGCCATCTCCCATCTCCTGCTGCCTCTTCTCCCCCCCCCCCCCCAAACGCACACATTTGTTTCAAAGGAGAAGGAATTCTGCTAACAGAACTGTCCTTTGTTCACCTTGATTGCTCTTGGGAAAGACTGAAAGCAAGTCTTTTCAGTCAGAAAGTGAAAGCTGTTTCAAAACCCCTCTCCTGGCCTCTACTGTTCACAGAATCAGCCACAAAGAGTTCCTGACTTCTTTCTCCTGTTCTGCCAGCCAATGGCCTCTAACCTCCTGTTGGAGAACATCCTCCCCCTAACGAAAGGCTCTGTATCTCTAAACATGCAACTCTCATTCACAAAGACTATTTAGTACTATGGCTGCAGTCCATTTTTTGTACGTACCTCTGTGCCTCAGGTGTGGGGTAGCGGTAAGGTCCCTGTGGTCCATAGGGAGGCGGGAATGGGAGGTATGGGGGATACATCTGTTAAGGAGTACAGGAGGAATCAGTTACTGGAATGGAACTAACAACCCTGAGCCAACAAGCCTGAGTCTTCTTTCAAAATATACTTACAAATGGCGGCATCATCCCCCGGTAGGGAGGGAATTGAGGCGGGACGTTGGGCTGCAAGCCGACCCCAGCCCGCCCGTCCTCAGGCACCAGCTCCCCGTCAGTGCCTCGCCCGCCTCCATCCCGCCAAGTGGTTGCGTCTGTGAGCGATGGGAGAGAGAAGAGAAGCATTAAGGGCTAGAAAAGATTTCAGTGCTTCTAACAACATGAAGCTCTTAATTTGCACTGTTTTCTGCTAGCCCCAGACTTGAGACTCAACTGCCATTCAAGCAACACCACTTACTCTGGGGGCGGAGGTTTGGTCCGGGCCCATACGACGCATCGGTAGTGTCCTTTTCTTTGCCAGCTTTGTCCTGGTCGCCAGCTGCCTGCAGGGTCGGAAATTCCTCGCGAGAGAATCGCGACAGTAGGCTTGATCCCTTTCCACCTTGACATCAAAAAGAGAAGCTCCCTTAAGAGTTTGTAGGCTACTCCCTCACCCTCTTATCTCTGTGCCTATGAGGGATGGCTCTGCTTCTATGATCCAAGAGATAACAGTCCCAAGATTTGGGAAAGCCAAGGCTGAATGCCCGAACTGTACGGGGGCAAGCCTTCTCTGAGCCCCTACCCCAAATGTCACAAGATTTTCCACATTGCAGGGCTTGGTGATAACCAATAATCACAACCCAAGGTTCAAAATTCTGCACTTGTAAATGGTACAAAGGACCTTGCAAGCTGATCTGGAACAGGATACTGACAAGTTAGCAGTAAGGAGTAAACTGCCTTTTGCTTCATCTCCTCAAATATTTCAAGACCCAGCATCACGCAAAATTAGCTGGAGCACAACTCACCATCTCCTTGCGCTCCATGGGTAACGCTGGCCTGTGCCCAAGACTTTACCCCGCTTGCTACTGTAGGGGGATTCTGAAAGAAGAGGGATGAGAGGTTAACAATAAGGAACATACTTTCTTTTTGGCTTTGCTTTAGCAAGGGGTTTTAAGCATTTGGGCAAAATCTACAGGATCACAGCTTTTATGAACTCATGCTTGACCGGGATGCGACAGACTCAAAAAACTCAATAAATAGGGTAATGTTTACGCTGGTCAGGTTTACCAATAAAGCATTGTGTCTTAATGTTTAAGCCTCTTTAGTGGACATGAGGATATCTTGTGGCTATTGATGCCCCATGTTTCCTATTCTTGGATGCTGCTTCTGGAAGGTGTCCCACACACTCTTGGGAAGGCCTGGGAATCCAGGACTTTCCCTCATGAAAAGAAGGAGAAGTAAACCAGGAAGCTGTCTTGCCAAAGTGCTATCAGCCAAGATCCACAAATTGGTAGGAAAGATTGCTTGAACCATGCAGAAGTTCCATTCTCTGACATAAGGCACTTTGTGGTGGAAAAGTGGAAGCAGAAGTTTCCAGTGTCCTCCTTGCCAGAAGATGGGGAAGTATAAAATCACAAAGAATGTGAAATCTAGGTTATAGTGAACTTGCTTCAACAAATGTTGTTAGCAAGAGCAAATGTAGGTCTATGCATCCATCCTCGTGTAAAACAGAATATTCAAGGACTGTACTGCACCCCAACAAAATTAAGAGACTGAAAAAAATAACTTTGAATTATGGAAGAACTATTAGATCATAAATGGAATTTGAAGCCAGAAATATACAACTGCCCAGAGAAACGTTAACTCCCAAGTCCTCTACTCTGGCCCATGATTTACCTCTGGGGCCGTTGGGGGTCGTTTCGGTTGGTTTGAGGCAGGCGTCTGTGAAGCCGGCGGTGACTGCGATTCCGGCGGCTGAGCTGTCGAGGCATCGGTACTGAGGACAAAAGGAAAGGGAGCATGAGGATAGACTCTAGAGAGGGCAAACTGGAAGCCCTGCTCCCATCCAGCCTCAGAAAACAGCCATGGCCCTCTAGTCTCCCCTCACCTCTTTGGGTCTGGCTGTTCCTGCTTGCTTGCCCATCCTGTCCCGTCTTTCGGTACTAGTGAGACGTTGGGGTCATTGCCTTTGTTCTCCGCTTTTAAGCTTGGCAGGTTCGCAGGGGGTGGCATGCGCCGGGCAATAGCAACCTTACCGAGACTCTGCAAGCCATGGCGGGGAGTGACTGCAACAGGAGTGAGAAGCAGGGGTTACAGATAGACTTTGGGATGTGACAGGATGCACCCGCTGCCCACCCTTCGGTTTCAGTAGAAACAGCTTTTCTTCCTGACAAATGGAAGTTACCCAACAGCTGTCCGGCTAAGCCTCAAATGGGCCTTTTAGGATGAAATCCAGGTGGGGGCAGCTGCTCAGGGCGCTGCGAGTGCCATCAGAGGGCATCAGAAACAAAGCAGATTCATCATAGCAACTGCCTCCTCCTCCAAACTCAAAGGCAATTTTACCTGTGGGTTTTTGGATCTCTAAGGATTTGCCCTTGTATGTATCAAACAGGTTGAGCGACGAATACTTTTTTCCATCCTTCCCCTTTGCTGTTTGCCCCAAACGATCTGACATTGCGCTGTAAGGTCATTGAGTACGATGGTTCCTCCTGGCTCCCCGCGAAACGTGCCTCTGTTGAATGAGAAGAGTGGGAAATTTAGAGGAAGAACCCTCAACAGTTCCATCCTTTCCCATCAATTGATCGCTCTCTATTAGACAAGCACATGGTGTTCCAGGCTGATCATCAAGAGATGCACAGATTTTCAGGTACATGTCAGAAAAAGCGCAATCAAATGCAGCTACGGGAATGGCTTTATTCACAAACCACCTATTTCAAAGGGTTACTGTGAGTTTTCCGGCTGCATGGCCATGTTCCAGAAGCATTCTTTCCTGATGTTTTGCCTACACCTATTTCAAAGATTGGTCAGAACTATTTTGAAATAGGAGTATTGGTCCACTGACAGACATAAAGCTGTTTGTTAACTTTTGAAAGATTTAGCCAGGGCCAAACATTCTCTGGAGGTAGAAATGGCCCTATGTAGATGGCAGCCCACACTTCCAATTGCATCAAAGCACCTCTACCTCAAGAGCAAAAGGAAAATGGAATGCATTGGTTCTCAATCTTTCAGTTATCTAGATACACAAACATCCCAAGAATGAGAAGGGATCTCAATTCATACTGATCGGAAATGATATCTCTTGCTTAGAAACACTATACACATCTCCAGCTCAGGTGGTGCTGCCCAACATCCAGGTGAGTTAGACTACAACTCTATCATATTCAATCAGCATGGATGGAGGTTATCAGGGTTTCCGTCTAGCCCACTTGAAGATTATCAGATTGATACTGTTGGTACATGGTCACATGATGCTGTTAGCTACAAGTCACTAACCACAGCAGAATTTAATTACTGTTTCATAACAGTTATCAAAATGGTAACTGCCTCCCCCAATAATCAACTTAAGTCTTTCTCTATTTTGGTCCTACTAAATTAATGCTTTAAACACCTGGCCAATAGTTGACCCCACCAATTGACCAAGTATATTTCGATGAGACAAACCCGCAACATGATCTGTAATAGGATCAGCAACATCTGTTGGGGATAGTTTAGGATTAAAAGAGTCAATATCCTTTCCACAGATGCACCCATGATTATTTAAAACCAATGTTACTTTCTCCTTGAAGTCCTTGCCAGGGCACTGGAAGAAGAGATGGGTCTTCCTCATGCAGTAAAACTGAGCTAAAAAAGCAGATACTTCATCAACCTTAAACTATTATTGTTATTGTTGTTATTATTCCTGCTTTTCTCTCTCTCAAAAGCTACTCAAAGCTGCAAAACGCACTAAAAATCACCAAACAATACAACTGACATATGTAACAATGACATCTGAAGCAGAGCAAAGTGGTACAAGCAAAAATGCAGGCTTCTGGACAGGGCTACCGCCTGGAGAAGATGGATACCTATCTACTTAAAGAGTGGGCAACCTCAAGCTCTGCAGGCCGAACAAGTCTTGTGGGGTTCCCTCCAAATGATCACTCTCTCTTGCCCCATGGTCCCACTTTTTGTGTTTGGATTAATTTTCACTCCCCCCCCCCCACTCTAAAAGCTTGAGACATTTCCCCTAATAATTAATCACTGACAAAAAAAACTGTCAGCATTTTGGGCTTCATCCTTTTGCATTTTATGTACTTGCTTGCTTGCTAGCTTACTATATTTATACCCTGCTCTCTCTCTTCTCAAAGGGGACTAAGAGCAGTTTACAAACTGGCAACAATTAAATGCCATATAAACAAACACGTCAAAACAATAAGTGTATACATTAAAAATAACACCTATGTATTAAAAACCAATTATTACACTACACAAATCTAAACTCATAGTCCAGGAGCCATTAACATGCACTTGTTTCATATCCACTGATTGCACTGAATTACTCTCTGAAGGCTTGGTCCCACAGCCAAGTTTTTAAATTTCTTTCTAAAGGTCAGAAGGGGAAGAGCTGATATAATTTCACTAGGGAGGGAGTTCCACAGCCGAGGGGCCACCACTGAGAAGGCCCTGTTTCTCATCCCCACCAATCGCACTAGTGAAAGAAGTAGAACCGAGAGCAGGGCCTCCCCACACAAATTCAATCTCCGAGGTGGGTCATAGAGGGAGATATGTTTGGACAGGTAACCTGGGCTGAAACAGTTTAGAGCTTTATAGGCTAAAGAAAGCCCTTGCGGCCAGTGGAGCTCGTTTAACAGGGGGTTGTGTGCTCCCTGTATGCCTCTCTGGTGAGGAATCTGGCTGCTGCCCATTGGACCACTTGAAGTTTCCAAGCAGTCTTCAATGGCTACCCCACAAAGAGCACATTGCAGTAGTCTATTCAAGATGGCCTTGCTCCTTAGTGGTGGTCTGTACAATTACCGTATATACTGATGTATACATTGATTTACAAATAAGTCAAGGGCATATTCTAGGGCCAAGACTGTGGATTTTGATATGACCCATAGGTAAGTTGTGGTCATTCTGCAGAGAAAGGAAAGCACCAATGCCACCTCAAAGGGCCAGCTGCTGCCATTACTCCACCCAAGCATTCAAAATCTCCAGAAGCAGTGCCATATTGGATAGTATATCTAAATTCTTCCACGATAGACTAAGCTCTTTCCTTTTGCTAGTCTGGCCAGAGAAGGATGTGGTTACTTTTTTGATATAGTACTCACACTGATCAGTGGACAGATCAACACAAATTTTTGAGGATTTTTAAAACTAAAAATTCTAGACAAATACATGAGTCCACAGGAACTCTGAAACTGATTCCAATCCTTCAATGGAAAGAGACTTTGGACTATAGTACTTGGTCCTCATACAATCCACTTCTTTTTCCTTGGGATTGCCTTTCACAGATACTTACCTTCCATCTGAGCTCCTGCCCACTTTGCAATCATCCCCTCCTTACCTTGCCATCTACTGCTACTAGAAGGAAAAAAACCCCCCACTAAAACTATTTTCTTGTAGGGAGGAAATAAATAAGAAGCTATCTTATTTATCAAATTGTCCCTGCAAGTATTTTGACCCAGGCCTCACATGACAGAAAAAATCTATTCATGGACACCAAGGTGTTTACATAGAAAACACCCACTCCTGTTTCAATGGATTATTTTAAATAATGATAATTAAAATCACAAAGCACAAAGGAAAAATAAAAGTGAAATTTAACATGGCATAGCTGGACCTTTTTAATGTTAAGAAATACATGTCTTCCACCCCTATTCTGCATGGGTTCAATATATCCTGATAAAGTGTTAGGTAGACAAATGGAATCTCTTTTTTGTTCTCTGTTCACACACAAAGACATTAAGATCAGTAAATGGAGGGGGAGCCAGAAAGCAGTATTGACACCATGGTTCAAGTAATTTTCCAGTAGCAAGTCTCATAACTACTTGGAAAAACAAAGTATCTCCATGACATGGAAAGTAAATGTCAACACTGTAGTATGGACATAAATGCTCACTATATGTCATAAAAAGAATGATTATGAAGAATCTTTGCCTCAGAAATAAAATATTTCACCTATACACCATTTTATTTAAATTTTCATTTTTTGTTAATATTTCTTTAAAAAAATAAGTCTAGAAAGTAAGATAAAGCACCAAGGACTCTTAAAGAGACAACACAAAAACACGTATATGCTTTATCATCATATTTATTCATACATGGCTTTCCCACCAGAATCAGGAATCAAAGCAGATAACAACTTTAAAAGCCATCATTAAAAACATATAAAAGGTAAATATTGAACTAGAATTTAACTAATATAACCATTAAAACAATTCAATTAAAGCACAATTATAAAAGAATGTAAAAAGATGTGGAAGAAACTTGCCTGTACACACAATTGCCCATCTATACACATTGTTTCTACTGATACTAGGCAGGCAAAGAATCGCTTTAAACAATACACTGTACACAGCTATGAATCGCTGATGGCTTCCTCTTACAACATGCCCTTGAGTTTGCTCCTTGAAGCCAGGATCTGGGGAACTGACTTGGACTGATAAACAAGGTTTGGGTGACAGGTGCAGGACAGAGGGCAGGCAAGGAAGGAAGTCGGTGTGGGTCATGAAAAAGGTTCAACTTTCACCTGGCAGGAGGAAGTAATATCTGAAGACTGGCCACAACAATAATTGTTCAGCATGTATTTAATACAGGCAATGGAAATAACAGAAGCCTAGGAACCCACGAGGCCTGCTGACATCTAAAGTCCAGCTAGCATGGTACATTTTGTCTGACTGATATTGACCTTCCAAGATCTCTAGCAAAGGTTCTCCCAATGGGTTGCTAGAATGAGATCAAGAACTAATATTCAGGTATACCTTAGTTAAGAAATTCTATAGGATGAATGAGGGCGGATTTACTGGACTTACCACCTTATCCCATGGGGAAGTCATCCCCCCCCCCCTCCGGTGCTGTTTCGCCAGCAAGTGTGTCACCCCACGCACTGCTTCCCCATCACACAGGGGAAGCATTGTCCAAACCGGGCAGCACAACACTGGAGCCAGGACAACACGGGAAGGCCTTCTCCATCTTTGGGGAGAAGCGTCTAAGGACGCTTCCACCCAGGTTGGGGGCAGGGTCTCCACCAGAAGCCACACAATGTCATGTCATGGCTGGTGTGGGGCTCCGTTCCCGAAGAAGGCTCAAAGCGCCCTAGGATGTTTATTTTAGTAAATGTGAGGAGGTTGTATTTGTCTTCCCGGGTATGTCGGAATACCATTCCAGTAGCCTCCGAACTGCAATCTAATACTAATATATCTGAAGGGCAACCAATTGTACTTTTTACAGGCATATATCAGTTAACAAACCGGGCTCTGCATACCTTTATTGTGAACTGTCAATTGAAATGAACTGCAAATAAAACTGCTTTCCAAAGGGGAAAAATGACCTTAATATGGAAGCAGTTCCATGTTGATAGCTTGCAAAGGAAATGGTAGAGAGCAGTCACTCCATAGCTTTCTTCAATGGCATGTTGAGGACTAGTACCTACCATGGTTACAAATATACACCAAGTAATTCTTGTCAGCTCTGCTAGTGACTCCAAGTGGAGTTTCTTTTATGATCTTTAGACTGGGTGAAACATTTTTAGCA